AATTCTTTCACAGTTTGCCTGAACTTCTGTTCTGTGTGTGAAGTTCTAGCAAGTATTGCTAGCTTGCTATTGCCTTCTCGTACCAAAAAATATGCCTGTTGGAGACTAGTTTGTCCCTATCTTGCTTTGCAATGCATCTATCAGCACGGAGGAGAGCCAAGAGCAGCACACACCCTCTCCACACACGCTGAGAAATACTCTCTGATTTAGAGAAAGACAGCTCCTTCCTTGTGTTGCTCCAGGGACAGGGAAGTGATGTGCTACTTCCCAAAAAGCTGGAGTCCAACTTCATCCCAGATGCCTATGAATTAGCCTCTTTGTATAGAGGAGGAGCATTCTGAACAGGAACACTGTAGTTACCTACAGCATATGTTAGCCAGATCTTTCTAAGTTTTAACAACCACATATCATAAATGGTTAGGCTGTGTGTACTCAGCACAAATGCTTTCTACCATGAGCTCTCAAAAAAGAGCGTGGCTCTGAAAAATAATGTGTACAGAACAATAGGTATTCAATATTCCTATTAGCAGATTAGATGTTACTTTCTGGTTTAATTGTATTCATGTTACTCATGGACCACATTTAAATTGCATTCAGCTCAATTAAAAAAACAGCTCCATAAAGTGAGTTTTACAGAATCTCTTGACTCCTCTGATCTAGGTCATATCCTGAGTACCAGGGGCCCACCTTTTTCACAAGGGCAAAAAAGATTTTAATGTAATTGTGACATCCTTTATTATCTCTTCAGGCACTTGTCATAAACTCAGTCATTGAAATTACTCTCCTACAGCTAGCTGCCAGAGTCCTGTTAAATAGTTATCAAAAGAAGTAGCTTTCTAAGGACAATGAAAAAAGAGGAGAAGGAAGAAATGGGCCAAGAAAAGGGATTGAATATATTTAGTGAAATATTGTTCCTTTAATAAATAATAAAAAAAAGAATGAGCCTCCCGCCCCCACCCCCCCCACCACACGCACACAGAAACCCTTCAATAAACTTCAATAGGAACCAGGCTCTTACTTTTTCAACCGAAATGTTTGTGTGATATTCCAAGAGCTTGAGGACAGTGATGCTTCAAGAACCAGACAATCTGGAAAAATGTGACTGTTAGACATATGCTGGATATTACAAGAAATAACTGAAAAAAAAAAAGAGTTGAAAGCTCGTGCCTTCAGCTGTTCTCTACATGGTATGCACCTTCTCATACACACATTCACTCATACTTTTAAATGATAAAAATAACTAGATTTTCTCTCTCCATAGCACCCTTTAGTTGAGTTACTCCAGACTTTACATACACTCATTAATTAAGCTTGATGCCACCACTGCAGGACATACAAAAGTAATGTTACTGTCAGGATACAGATAAGGAAATGCTACCATGGAGCAGGGATACAAAATCATCTCCTGAAGAGCACACAGTGCTACATTGCAGCAAAGCCAGACCCTGAATTCAAGCCTTCTAACACAACAGACAGTTCTAATGTGAGAGATCCCAATATATTGTGCTTCTCTCTCTTTCTGTCTCAGAGACTTAGTTTCAGAGTCTTCTTTTCTAATCTATGCAGTAGCAATTTTCATCCTATTTAAATCTTTTATGATTGCATGAGTCAATTTGCCATTATTTCAGCTAGCAATTACTATACCGACAATTCACTGGCAGCTGTGGAATGAAAGAGTATCTTCTCCCATGAGCAGAATACCACATCGAAAAGCAGAGTTAGATATACACCACTTAAGCCACGGTCGCTTTCATCTGTGTGCCTGCAGATGTGTACCTCTGTGAAATGAATGACTGTCTGTGATCAAATGAAACCCATGTGTGCAAACTCTTCTGGCTTCTCTATGCTAGGACGAAGATAGCTTTTTAATCCAGGAAAGTTACACAGATTTAAAATATACCTAACCTACCTTGCAAAGGTAGAGAAAGTTTTGCCTTTATCACAGGCTGGCTTGTTCAGATGAAAACCAGCTTTGGCTACATCTACATTGTTAAATCAGAAGTATCGCCTAGCTCCACAGGTCAGCATAGCACTTGGGTGCTCACTGCAAAGGTCATCTGCACTGCTTGTTAGAAACAACCCTTCATATGTTTAAATGCCTTACTAGATGGACAGCAGACTCTGACTTTTAAATGTGTTTTAATGCTTGAAGATGTGGATAAGCACACACAGACATTCTGAAACCCTTCACCGAGCACCTATTTGCATCTCCAGAAATCTATATATCTGCAGAAATCTGACATTTTGGGCACAAAATTACCTAAATCACTTGCCTAGATCATTATATGAGAAGTGTCTCAAGCCATGTGCTACTGAAAAATAGTATTTTACTAGGAGTAGTAAGTAAAAGTAAGGAATTTATCTGCTTCTGGCAGAGTTTGTCTTCTCATTTAATTTCTGTGGGCCCCAACATAAGAAGGACATGGACCTACTGGAGTGAGTCCAGAGAAGGGCCACAAGGATGATCCGAGGGCTGGAGCACCTCTCCTACGAGGACAGGCTGAGAGAGTTGGGGCTGTTCAGCCTGGAGAAGAGAAGGCTCCAGGGTGACCTTATAGCGGCCTTCCAGTACCTGAAGGGGCTACAAGAAAGCTGGGGAGGGACTTTTTATAAGGGCAGTTAGTGACAGAACAAGGGAAATGGTTTCAAACTGGAAGAGGGTAGATTTCAATTAGGTATTAGGAAGAAATTCTTTCCTGTGAGGATGGTGAGACACAGGAACAGGCTGCCCAGGGAAGTTGTGGATGCCCCCTCCCTGGAAGTGTTTAAGGCCAGGCTGGATGGGGCTCTGAGCAACTTGGTCTAGTGGAAAGTGTCCCTGGTCCTGGCAGGGGGGGTTGAAACTACATGATCTTTAAGATACCTTCCAAACCAAATCATTCTATGATTCTAAGAAGTTTGTATTTTGTACTTAAAAAAATAACATTGTCAAATATGGTTTCCTGATTTTGTCTGTGTTGCAATTAATTGAACCTATTATTTTCTGTATGGCCTGGGCTGACCTTTCAAAATGCACCAGACTGCACTGAGTAGCGGGTATTTTCAAATTTTTTTTTTTTTTCCCAAGAAATTATACCTGAAGGAGTTTTGCAAGTGCATCTTCTTGTGAGACTGAGATCACTTTACACGAGGTACCATAAAGAGTCAACTTCCACACCTGCACTATCCACTAATATATCTCAGCTTGTAGGAGCATGTGAATGGCAGTAATACTGGCAGGCACAAGCTAAGCTCACAGCCTCTGATTAACACTATCAAAGGGCTCATCTTTGGCACAGAGCACAGGCAAGGCGAGCTAGCTCCTGTAACGCTATACTCTGAAAACCTGCTAATGGAGTAAGAGAAAGCCTCAGTCCAAGAAGACAGTACACCATAGACAATGTACACCATAATTGTAAGAAAACATGGCTTTTGAGATTGGGTCAATAAAGGACATTGTTTGTTCTCTAATGCATTTGTCCCTCATAAATATCCACTAATAATGTTTAATAAAAACAGCTTAATAGACCAGAATACTCATGGATATAACCCTAGCTGTCACCTGCTACTGACAGTCTTGTCTTCTCAATTCCCAAATCAATACTGGACAGGAACTTGACACACATCATTTGTATGATGCCAGAGGAGCTTTTCCCATACAAAGGCCATAGGATGAGCTCCTGAGATCCCAATATGACAAGGAATCTCCTTCAGGGACAAGGGTACCCAAGAGAGAGAGAGCTCTCTGCAGCACTGAGCCCTTCAGAACAGCAAGTAATTTTAAATTCTGGTTAACATTTTGCTCTTCTTTGTAGGAATATACAAAGGTATTATAAGAGAATCAGATCCATGCAGACTATTACATGTCTTTTGGGCTATATTACCCAGGAAAAGATAAAGGCAGACTTTTATCTGAATTTTCTGTTTTCTCTTCCACTCATTTAAGAGCACATAATATCCTTGAGCTTGCTATCTTTGTCCCTCAGTTTAGATTAAAACTCTTGTATTCTAACATAAGCAACTTTACAAAGGTCCAAGATCAACCTGTATTAAGAAAGCTTTGTGCTTCTACACAGACCCTTGAAGCAAGGCAAGGGGGACATTTTCCTCCTATTAGTCAAATAAGACTCTACTGTGAAAGATTATAATCTTTGAGACCAAAGCCTAGAGAACAGCTCAAAACTCTAGACACTAATTTCCCACCTCATTCTATACTTGTCGTTGCCCATAAGATGCACAAAACAGATCACGTGTCATGCATCCAATACACATGGCTCAGCTCTCTAATTCTGAGAACTACTGGTGAGCAAAGTAGTATAAGAATTATTGCAAAATTATTCAACCAATAATTCAGAAATACTAATTAAATCAAGTCAAACACAAAAAGATGTATGAAACAAATTACCCCTAAACCACATATTTTTCTGCTAATCCTCTACATGGAAAAATCACTTTCTCATAAGTGTTTAAGTGAGGCTGAAACAGCTAATAGAATGCTAAGATTATTTATTGTACCAACATTCATAGTCAGATTCTCCTCATTTATGCTAGTACAGTTTCTTGCAAACACAAATTCTGTTTGCAGATGAGAGAAGGGTTAAGATGGGTTAATTTGTCAAGGCAGAGCACTGGACCAACACTACTTCCATAGCTCCAGCCAGCCTGATTGCCACTGGAGCTATCTTAAGTTTCCTTAGACAGCAATTAATGGCACCATGTAAATATACTCCTAATGCTAAAGGACTGCACTGCTATAGGCCGAACCGAAGAAGCTGCTTCTAGCCTTAGGTTAACATGTTTTATTACTTCTAAAAAGGATTCCATATTAACAAATCTTTAATTATCAAGAATAGTGCAAGTACACTCAAATCACTTGACAAAACAGGATTTTTTTTTTCCAATGACATTTAAGAAAAAGCATTACCTACTCTCACACTCATTAGGCCTTTATTTATGCTCAGTTCTCCTCAGTAATTAAGGACAATGCATAAGCATTACATACATGCAATAGTAATACATACCATTATCAGTTGTCACCGGAGCTGTTAGATTGCAGAAACAGGATGAGCTTTTCAGCACTACATTTTCATAAAATATTTCAACAGGTTTTACAATTTTTATCATACAGGAGGTAAGGATTTTGCTTATGCTTGCAGACACAGCAACCTATAAAGCAATAAAACAAGAATACAACAGATTTCTTGCAATGCTTGTTAAGTCATCACCTTGTCTTTACAGAAAACTACAAACTAGGAAATGTACAAAATGAAAATTTTGGTGGTGGAAGCAAACAATTCACTAGGTAGCCTCTCAAAGGAGACAGCATCTCACAGCTTGAAGAAGCAATACAGAAAGAGTCCTGACAGGAACACCATTGCTTACTTCTAGAAATTAAATGGATCTGTAAGGTATGTCAGGGGACCAAGCTAGAATAATTTTGGATTCTAAAACAAGAATTTTGCTATAACAGTGTCATATGCTGTTACAGTCCCTTAAAAATATTCGAGCAAGAACGTACAAATCCTCACAGAGAGACATTTGCATCCATAACCAAAGTGCACTTAATTATGAAACAGAATTTGTCTTGTAATGAATTATCCTTTGTTTCTGGCTGAGAGCCCTTTACAAATATGATCACATTAGTGCATTCAATCAGGAAACCAGAAACAATAGCATGCAGATTAAGTGGCTAGTCACAATACTTGATAATCAAATACTCAAGGCTGTCTGTTCTGTGAACAGATACTGAGTAAATACTAATATCAAACACTTAAAGACACATTTTTGTTAGCATATGTGTCTCAGTGAATGTTTTGTAACTTGTTACAAAGCTCATAACTTACATAATGCACTTGATACATAGTCACTGAAAGTAATTAAAATAGCTGATAAACTCAGGTAACGGAAACTTTGCCTTTGTAAACATAGAGAATTTTTGACTCAACATCTTGAAGTATAGCTTCAGGATACATTTTATAGGAGATGAAGAGAATATCTATCTGATCAACACACTCAACTTACTGGGATTTCGAATACATTTGCCAATTGTTGAGATATGAGCCTAATATATGGAACAAGGTGACAAAAGAAGTGAAGGTGCAATAAGCAACAAAATGACACATTTTATGTCACAATAAAGAAACATGCATAAAACTGGGTGTATTTACCTGATTTTTGGCAGGGAAACTTAGCAGGATTCTCAGATCTTTATCAGGTGCATGTGAAATGTTATACCAACCCTTTATGCTGTTTGAACGTGTACAATTTTCTTTTAATGTGCACCTAAAAGCATACATAAAATTACACTAGCCTCCTTATGGTGGCTTTGACTTCAGACACTGCAGTTCAACTTATTTAATGTTATTGATTTTTTTACAGGAACACTATTGATTTTTTACAGGAATATGGTTACAACTGCAAAAAGCTTCATGAAAACAATCAGTAAAATCTTCTGCTTATCAAAATAAATTACAATGCATTGATATATGCTCTAGGGTCCTGATTAAGTCAATGGGACTCAAGCAAATATTAGACGCTTGGACAGTAACAGTGGACTTGGTTGCCTTCAATGGAATTCATCACCCCCAACTTGATTGCTCCATTGTACAGCTGACACCCCTCTACACAAAATGGGGAGAAATATGCTCTTTCAGGGTGCAATTCATCTAACCTATTTTAGGCATTCATACAAAAATTAGATGAAACACACTATAGAAGGTGCTCCTTTTCTCTAAAGAGTACAAGAGGAGATGGGGGTGAAGCTCAGATGTAGAGCTATGCTACAAATGTGTAGAGATGACGAGATGCATCCTCCTTCCTGATCTCCTGTTGTCCACTGATGTGAACGGTAATCATTCCCTTTTACGTCAGTGCACTTGGTTAAAAACATCGGGTTTGAAAAGGTAGTTCAAAATAGATTTCTCTGTCTTCAAGAATAAAATCCATTTCAGAAGTAGGATGGTACAAAGTAGATAAAAAGGTTAAAGACGCCAAATTGTAGGAAACAGATGCTACACAACAGAAAATTAAGGAAGAATGACGCAACATTGGGATATACAAGTACTACAAAGATGACGTATGAAAAACATGTGATAAGAAAAAGAGAACATAGGCATACAAATTAGATGGATGATCACTGAGTGTGAAAGGTGAATCCTTAAAATAGTGTCTGCTGTGAACAGTTAATGAACAATCCATAGATTAACTCCAGTAATTTCATGTAGCTAGCAATTAAAGACAAGTAAGTGCTAACTGCATATATCTTAACATTTTAATATTAAGACTGAATATATAAAAAATAAATGTAACATTTAATATTGTTTTAATAACACTACTTTTCTACCAAATGTAGAAGCATGTATAGCTTCATTCATGTGATCAGTGACTTGTGCCTTAATGAACTATTTCTTTGCTAAAACCTAGAAATTAGTAGATACTTGCAAAGCATAAAGAGTTCACTGTATAAACATATTTCATAAACAATGTGTTTCACTCCAGAAGGAATAACACAGGAATGACTTTAAAAAAAAAATCCACCACTTTCCAAAATGCCCGAAATAACCCCACAAACCATAGAAACGATAAAGTCATCTTCTCTGTACATCAAGACACTGGCAACTGGAATGCAGTTAAGCACAAGGTCACTTCCTTTGTGGTCTAACTCAGGAAACAGTTCCTGCTGCACAAGAACCTGGTGGGGCTTTGCATCTGAATACATTGAGCTAATAACTATAATGTAAGAAATTGGGACTATGCCTGACATATTTTAAACTGTCTGAACTAGGACAAATTTCAGTCTCATTTATATCTCTCTTCACCTTACTGACTTCACGAAAGTCGATAAGCACTACAGTTTTAGAATCACAGAGGATGGAATCTGTCATCAACAGATGTGCATAAACCAGATGCTCGGATACGTATGAGGAGATAACTCTCACTGGCAAAGGCACATAGGAGAGAGACATCCTATATTTTCTGACAGGCTGAGGATCATAACATTGAAGATGGAAAGCAGCACACTTGTGATACTTGGCACTAAATAAGCGTATGCATTTCAGTGACACTAATATTAAAATGTTAAAAAATAAAACTGTTTATAAATATGAATATTTAAAACAGTCCTAGGACAAAGTTATTTGTCTTCTTAGACTGCCTGAGGAATGCAAACAATTAACTTGTTTCCTTCATCTACAATGAAGAATCTAAGAGTTTAATGGCAAAAAAAGTAATGCCACTCAGGACCCAGGGTCATGCTTGTCTTCATGACAGGAAAAATGTGTTTCTTGTTGCTCTAAAAGCTAACCTTTAACACTCAAACAATGTGCTATGGAGAATGGTCATTTCGTAGGAAGCAGTCACAAAGAGGGAAGTAAAGCATCTGATGCCCCTCAGCATTAAATTCTCACAATTGCTCAGCACAGGCCAAGAGTAACATGAATTGCACTCAAAGATGAGGTTATTTTGTTATATCCCTATTTTTAGACAACTGATATTTTTTGCAAGCACGCTGGAATGAATATAACAGATAAATATTAATTATGAGCCACATGGTTCTGAAAATTAACATACAGACTCAGACAACTAAGAAAGCAAAAATATAAATGCTTCAAGAGTAGCTGAGAGTTTCTGGAGCCTGGTTTTCCTGGAAAGGTGGACTGGACTCTATGCGAGTATGACGGTGTAAGGTACGAAACCCTAGGATCAGATTTCAGACGTGCATAGATACACATACAGAGAAAAGCAGAGTGAATATTTTTTTAATCTTTCACAGCAAGTTAGTTCTTTATACTGCTAAAGATTCCTCTTCACAATTGGAATCAAGTTCCTCTTATTTCATTATGATAACGCGATACCTATGCATACTGGTTCATTCATATTTACTCAAGTCTCTGCTTCACTAATCTTGTATTAACTACAGAATCTACTGTGTTTTCCCTCTCTGCCTTGCTAATGCACATTGATCTCCTCCTGGAATGAGAACATGGTTTCAGAGAAGGTTTTGGCTTCCTTTTCCAAGGTACCAGCCCCTGAATGAAGTTCACAGATGTCACCCAGGTTGACCAAATTCAAAAGCAAGTCTGGTCATGTCAGACAGCTAAGACATATTGTGTTATTTCTATATGGAAAATACATGTAAAACATCAGTGCCTTGTATTGGAATAATTTCAACTTACTTCAGGTAAATCTGATACATCTACGGAAAACCTACAAACATCATTAAGAGAAATCACACAATGCTATGACAAATGGTTTTGAATGATTGACAGTGACAAAGAGAATTTATATATTTGTCCCTATGGAAGAAAGAGTAGAAATAGCAACAGTAGAAACATTTTGTTTCAATTTGTTTTTACTTGCAATAAGATGTGCAGATTTTTTCAAAGTACAGGATTTGAGTTCACACTGTCTTTAAAATTAAGCACTGCTGGTAAATTTTATTTTTAAAATGGAGTGTATGTTTAATATAAAATTTATTTCCAAGTAAGAGTATAAAACATATTATCAATCTCAAAATTATTATGGAATATATTGCTTTAGTGGACATGTATAGGCTTTGATTAAAATACTGGCTAAAAACATGTCTTCCTCTTTTTCTGAAGCTTCACTCAGAACTTTCTCTTTGCAAAACCAAGTACTTAATTTGCAAAAAATTATGTGGGTGTTGAATGGGATTCATATTGGAGTAACTAATTTTTTCTCCAAAAGAGCAAATTACTTCTGTTTCAACCAGATGGAAACTTTTGGTGATTCCCCTCACAAACAGGGCATTTACTGACTAATTTGTGAACTCTTTATAAGGTAACTAAAAGCCCCAAAATCTTAGCACTGTAATAAATACAGTTTCTAACAACGCAGCAAAAGAGAGTTTGAAGAAAATACACTACAGATCAAACACCAGGTCTCTTCTAATAACTACCTTTGCAAACACATAGTAGCAGACTTTCAGTAAGATCACATTAACATTGAAACAAACCAGAAAGGGTAGTATTAACCTTCTAAAAGAGGGCTATTAGTGGAACTCCTCAAAAATCAATCCTACTTTTGTTCAATGTTATAATCACTGGCGAACTGGCATAAAAGAAGGTTTACACTGTCGACATCTGCTGATGATACAAAGTTGGGAACATTACCATGCAGAGGAGGATGAGAATATCACACAGGAAACTTGGATAACCTTGAAATGGGATGACATTTCAAAGCATAAAGTACAAGAACATGTACCTAGAGCAATAAAAATCTCACAACCCATATGTGCTATAGACTGGAAACTCATCAGTTGGAAAGAAAACAAAGAAAGAGAAGGACCTGGGGGCATTATTTGATCATGGATGATTGTGGCCCATCAATGTGATGCAGTCATGAAAAAGACATTTGTGATCCCAGGACACACTAAGTAAGGTGCTTCCTGGACAGACTGGTTAAACACCATTGAGCAAGGCACAGCTGAAATCTCTTCTGGAATACTGTGACAGTTCTGGCCATCCTTATTTTCAAAGGATGCATAAACATCACAGAAGGGTTACTGGAGTTGAATTAAAAAAGGAGTGTCTTATGCGAGAGGATCTTAGTGAAGTTAGCTGGCTTAGCACACCAAAATGAAAGTGAGAAAAGAGACTGCGTTCACAAAAACACTGAAGAGCTCAGTGTGAGGGAGGGGAAAACCTATTTCAGCCAAAGCGATGTGAGCACCAGAACAAATAAGTATAACCTGTCCATGAACACACACATGATGAGAATGAGCAGACAGATTTTAACCAGCAGAACAATGAGACTCAGATAACCACACAACCAAGGAAGAGAGGACAAAAAAGCCTATTTAATTTAGGATGGTCCTTGATTAGTTTATGAGCAGGTTTACACGATGTGGTTGCTTGTAATTGCCACGACTAGGCTTGATGACCCAGGAGTTTCTCCAGTCCCGGCCAAAGATGTATAGCAGCTTTCAAACCTACTTCAAAGAAAGCAGCAAAACTAATGACTCAAATGCGAGGATAAGGTGTTTGGAAAGAAATTCTCCTCTGGCCTAAACCAAAGGCAGTGATTCCAAAGCAAGGAATTGTGAATACTGAAGACAACTGAGCACTCTTTCTCTGTTCTCACATGCAAGATGCTTCTAGCTATTAAAATGCTTCAAGCAGGAGTGTACAATTTTATCTCTCAATCAATTTGGAAAGCAAAAACATCTGTTCCAAAACGAAAATAATTTATTCTTTTTAGCCCAACATATATTTTATAGGTAGATCTCAAAAATCTGAGGGTTAACATGGTCTTTAAAAGGTGCAGAGCTCCCTTTCACATGACAATAAAGTATCTCACATTTATGGCTATGACTGATTCCATAAAAATTCAGTAGATACAATCTTGATAATGAATAGCTCCAAGCCAGTCAAAATGTACACTGACTAATAACGCATTGCTTTTATATGAAAATCTAAAATACCAAAAAATACCTTTGATTCAAAGAACACCACCCACAGTAGGGATCCTTTGCAGATAAGCATTCTTGCTCGGAAACATATCTACCACAATTTGCAACTGGTATTCTTCTCACCTGAAACCAAAGAATGCAATAACACACTGAATTAAAACAGACTCCATGACAGGAAAATCAAGGATTACCATTAAAAATCTGACAGCTACCAAGCATGATCCCTTCGGGAAAGTTTCCTTATGGACTCCCCTCTGCCAGAAGACCTTTGGATAGAAATATGCGGCCTATTTTACAGACACTGTATTTTGCCATCAGATGATGAAACTCCTCTGACAATGACAAGGACAGCATGGACAGAGTAATGCAGGAAAGACTAACTAGCACAGTGAATTACAGATAACAATAGAAAGGAGCTATATTTTACAAATAATGTTCTGCTTAGCAGAACCTCTTTTTCCTCTCATCAGAACTGAGATTTTTAAATGATTGATGAAGGTGCATCCAAAATGCATGCACAGAACAAAATGCATCTGTGTTTGCATCACCATGTCAGGTAACCGCATGTGCACACGCCAACAAACGCATGCAACTACTTAGCACGCATGCATGAAAATGCCATTTCAATAAGTAAATGTAGATAATTGTGGCTATATTGTATGCAGCTATACTTGTACATTCAGCTCGAATATCCTAGCCAGCCATTTTCAGAAAAGGAAAGGAAAAAGAAACAGAGAAAGCTGATTACAAATATTGAATACAAATACAAATAATATTATTAATAACTATGTTAATGAATACTATTAGTAAGAAAAATATTCCTAATTACAAATTTGCAAGAACTAAAAGTTCCTATATTTTGCGAACAGATGGCTTTCTGTAGAACTATATTTACTGTTTTTTCCAGCCATATCTTGTAAAATTCTATTTATCTGAAGGTGTGTGAGATAATCAGTTTAGAAACCAACTAACATCATAGACAACTAGCAAGTTAGAACAACAGGGTAGAAGCCTTATTTAAGCTCCAAGAGAAGATTAGAGGGAGGCATTTATTCCTAAAAGCTGTTGTTCCTCTATAACAACTTGCTTTTTTTACCAAAGCTAAAGAAAATCCATGTCTTTCCTTTGAGGCTCCACATTCACTTTTTACTGAAGTTTTGATTCCTTCTGCATTTGTGATAGATGGTTTATATCCATCAGGAGTTCTCCTACCAACTTACCCACTCTCTCAGATGGCAGGCTAAAATGCTACATTCACTGCTGGAAAAGTGATTTCATTGTAAATGAAGGTAATCAAGTGCTGGGTGAAATCCTGTCCAGCTAAGATGGACAGCCAGCCCTTATGTTTTCACTGCCATATTCCCTGCTGCTGGTGAGACACGAATTTCCTAGCAGAGTTGATGCTCAGGAGCCCTGCTGCTGGATGTGCTGCAACAACTGCACCAGCTCCTGGGTCCCGCTCTCTGCTCAAGGTGCAGCTCTGACACGTTTGCTCACATGCAGTAGCTCCCAGTGATTGCTGAACTCCCTGGCCTCACTATGCATACACATTAATCACTTCTGATTGTGTTTTTGTTTTGTGCTTCGCTTTTTTTTTAAAGTCTATGCCTAACTGAAGATGACAAAGATCTCTTCATTCTCTCAAACGAAGATATTTCTCCACATTAGAAACTCTTTAACTGATTAGTAAACCCTGGCCTGCCAATACCTGGATTGCTAATTCAGAGGAACTCCATCTCTAAAGAGTCTACAAGTTTTGTTTGCTACCTCCAAGTTTGATTCTGCATGATGCCACCAGGAAAAAGAGAAACAAAGCCTCTCTTGACAGCATGACACAAAATAAGCATGAGATTAAGGGTGTTGCTGGATCATAGCAACGGTAGGCAGCACCATGACAGTGGAAGCTCTTCTGAGCTCTGCAGAAGTGCAGCTCAAACTTAGACATCATAACCAGATACTAGATACAAAGTTGGTAACTGCAGTTTGGATATTTAAGGTCTAACTGACTCAAACTGATGCTTCACTTATAAAGTGGTAGAAATCCTTAAAGCAGTAGTTTACTTGAATTTATTGTTTTATTTAATATTGTGCTTACCTTATTGGCAGAGGACAGATAGATGTAGTTATTATCTACTGGATCAAGTCGAAGTTTGGGAAAAATGGAGGTTTCTTCCTTAATTTCGTATAAAACCTCTGGGCAATTAGATTCCATATCCTCATTAAGAATAGCCTAAAACACATGAAATTAAATTATTCACAAGTCCTTTTACTGATCAGTCAGCATGTTAAACAAAACCCTAACTTCAGCTACCTCAGAGCTTCTGAGATGATGTACTATGCCCTGATTCAATTCACCTACTGCACTGGCTCTCACACTGCAGAAAGATGGAGGAAAAGACCACCAGAACAGAATTTCAACAAAAACCACGCCAGACACATTTTGCACTGAATCTGGCACTGGTTTAGTGCACGAAACAGCCCTCCTACCAAGTATGCTCCTGATTGATGCGGAAATTGGATGTGGAAGAGATGTCTATATCCCAAAGTCATAATATTTTAAGCACTCCTATAAATGGAGAAGAAAGCATTAGCCTTCAGAAAACAAACTAACATCTAAACACCCATAATTTAAAAAGGAACCTATGCAAGCTACTGACAACTGTCTTCAGGACAGAACTTTCTTTGTGGCTTCTGTGGGTGTATGTCTGAGGTGGTATTTCTTTTTTTTACCTTGCCCAACTCTACAGTTTTCCATCATCCTTCTCACAGAATTCAAGAGAACCAGAGACCACAGAAACTTTAGTTTGCAAGTTAATAAGCACACCAACATTGATATAAGGTTTTCCATAAACAGGACTAAACGAGGGAGACATGTTCATCCCCACTGTGCCAAGGAGACACAGAAGACTTCAATTTCATTTTTCATTATCAAATGCACAGTAAAATCAAATGAGAAAAAGCTTTTCAAGCTCTCTACTATATTCCTCTCCAACTGCCTGCTTAATAAAAACAAAAAATGAAAGTCATCCTTTGCAGTGTAGACAGGAAATGCACATTCTTGCAAAACCCAGAAAAAAAATTAAAGCATAAAAGACATTTGACTGGATGGTTGAAAAGTCTGATAATGAGATAAGATGACTTTCACTTCCAGGTGATTGATTTAAGCTAGCATAGGTCAATTATTCAGAAACTAAGGCAAAATGTATCTTGACCTTTCTTTCTAACGGACACCTATTCACATCACACAGATAGGCTAACAAACAAGTAAATACACTCCCAAAATCTAACAATATTTAATATTTCTACTGGAAAATCAAAGCAAGGAAGGACAAAAGACAGTAACCAAGAATTCCACAGTTCATAAATTGATACTGTGGGCATTAGCAGTTTAATGAAATGTTTCCATGAATTTTAAGCAGGGTACATAATCACTTTTGAAAGTTATCTTGCTCTCCAAGTAACAATACAGCAGTTACTTCACAAACAAAAATGAAACAGAGATTTAGGGGATATATAATACAGTGCCTAAACCAGGAAACATTTACCCACTTGAACACAGAAGCAGCTAATGGAGAAAGGAAGACTTCAGGCTTACCTTCAGTAACTGTCCATCATCTGTTCCCAAAAAGAGAACTATCTGATTCAAAACTACTGTGCCATAAACAGCCACTAATCCAGAGTGAATCAAGGTAGGTAATTTCTTGATTGATGGTGCCTCCTGAAAACCAGATATAAGAGAAAGCTATTACAAAATCATTCACCTATACTGCCAAACATTAAGAAAAAGAAAAGGAAGAATCCCTGGAAAGATTCTCAGAGAACTCAACTTTAGACAACACTTTGGGTAACATTTTAATTCTGACACAATTTCAGAGCAACATACCATTGGAAATGGCACAAGAAAACACGAAAGGCCTTTTTTATACATGGCAACTGGTCATGTCTGTGATAGAGATTACATCTACTGCAGCTAAATCACTGACCTAAGTGGGACACAGACTCGTCCTAACAACAGCAAATAACTTTGCAACAGAATTGATCTTTTTTGGGACATAATGCCCTGGGCTTATTCTGAATTGCAAGTTCTTCTCAGTGAAGCCATGCTTCATGCTTTGCCATCACCTGACTGCACCTACCATGAAGGCTACACATACACTCAGCAACCATTTTTAAAGGCATGTAAATATTCTAGAGGAAGGAGGCACTTCAAACACACAGAATTTTGTGTGTGTGTGTGTGTGTGTGTGTGTGTGTGTCAGATAAGAGCTTCATCCTCCCCTTTCTGGTTTCCTGCTTTACACTAAAGGAAACTGAGACTTGCTTATTTCATAAATGTAAAAATGAGATAAAGCAGTATAAAGTTCATGTCAGGGAGAACATAAATGTACCTGTGTGAACTTTAAAATCAACATGTTACCTACAATTCTCCATCCAAGCCAGAGGAAGTTAAGTGACAAACGTGTAAGCAGCTCATGAAAGAAAACATCATTCAGGAAATACCTGTATCTTGTGGAAGGAAAAATCAAACCAAACAACCCCAACTGTAGATGATCAAGTGCTGGAAGGAAGCCCTGATGTGCGAGAATAAGGTCATTCACAGGGTGAGAGATGATCTCTGCCCCAAATTCCCTACAAGCCCGGATATCTCCCTAGCAAGCAGTACCTCAGTTTTGCAGTCTGATATTGCTTTAAGTCAATCTCCACCGCAGACACTGCCAAAGGTGTGATCCCACCTGCTCTTCAAATGGGTCCAACTACAGCCAAGCTCTACCTCCCCTTCCCCTCTATTAGCATGATGCTTTCCAATGAGCTCAGTTAAGGAAGTGATGTGCCCAGAAAATGGTCTGTAAATCCATCTACCTACCTACGTAAATTTTCATTTGAGTAATTTTCCTCATCACATGAACATGTGGCTGCATGGACACCAGTACTGGCACAAAGGAGTGGCAGGCATGGAGAGGTGGGGGAAAGAGCTCAGGCAGAACCAGGTCCTTGGGAACAAGCCCAGTAGGTCAGCTTACAAAGCCCAGAATCTCAGCCTCGGGGATGAATTCCTAAACCTACAGGAAGCCTCTGAGTGCAAGATCCTATTTCGCTTCAATGCCCAAGACGAAGTGTGAGAATGGAGCATTAAAAGTGACATTTTGTAGAAAGGTGAAGGCATTTCTCAAAGTTATAAAGCAAATCCATAACACAGCAACAGCTGAATTCAACTCTCTTGCATGCTAGGATGCTGGCTTAATCCCAAAAGATCTTTCCATATAGAAACAATTTTTTTCTAAACTGCAATCCTAAATCAATTAAAATCTTTTTCAGTCATCTGAATTATTTTAATTAGCTTGCAAGAACTTGGAGTAAAAGAAGACTTGATTAACTTTCATAATTAATGTTTTGCATTTTTTTTCATGCAGCACAAAGAAGACACAGGAACTGTCATATACTGGCACAGAACTTCAGTAAAACCCACTTAGGCAGAAGTCTCCAGTACCATGAAGGAGTTTTACATACTGGGGGGTGGTGGGGTGGGGCAGTGATTGCAAGCATTTTAGGGTGGAAAAAGTTAACTCACTTTTTCATTAGATCAGAAGGTAACAAAACTGCTGTACACAATGAGCTTTCACTCAGGCTAAGGAATGAGGAGGTGAAATTTCCAGGCTTTCATTTCCAACACAATTAGGATTTTTTTTCTGCATTGCACGATATAGTAGTGTAAGGAAAGCAAACCACCCTAGGTTCCTCGCAGACTCTGTTACAACAAGATCACAGAAGAGGGGAGGACTCATCCAGTCTCTGAAAAGCTTTGCTGCCAGATTTTATTTTGACTTACATCCTAGTAAAATAACTAGTGTCACATCAGTGCATCCTCCTCATCTGACTGAAGAACCAATACTGACAAGTGTGGAAGCCTCCTCCCCTCATTCTGCTTGCCAGAGGGAGGGTCAATGCAACACTGAGCCAATACAGATAAGAAGAGGGGGAATTTAGATGGTGGGCAGTCACAACAAAAATTGCCTTCTCTCTTCTGCAACCTATTTCTCCAGCTTGCCCATTCCCTCCAGGGTGCAGCTGCTGCTTTCACCCTTCCATGTGCATTTATTTTTTTAACAAGCTCTTGTACCTCCTCCACTGTGACTAATGGGGTTACAGCACTGTAAGGCCTTCCAAGCTTTTTCTTTCACAGCTAAATCCATCCTTAAAATGCATTTTATACTTGAAGAGTCACTCATCTCCATGATCATCTATCTGTCTATCCTGTAACATATTCAGGCTCATACAAAAACAAGACAAGCAGAAGAAAAGACAATACTGCCTTAGAAGACCATTCTTAAATTTTTAATTCTTCAGTTCCACCCTTTGTTCTATTCTATCATCTCCCAAAATCTTCATGTGCACAGGTAAGTCCAAAGATCTCCTGAATTAACTTACATTTTGCTTTTAAGTTCACCTCCCTGTGCTGTTTGGTTATTGGCATGAAAGGTATTTATACTAATTTTCTATTTTGCATTTCATTTTCAGATTTATCTCTGTATGATTCCAGCTGCAGCAACCACATTCACACTGCTACTTTCTGTCTTTATTTTCTCTTGATTATTTTACATTTTGTGCCTCAGAGGGAAGGGCAGCATTTTCAGCTCACACAGTACTCAACATATTGCAGCTGGCCAAAAGTAAAAATAAAGGGTTTGAGCATCAGAGTAAATGAACAGATGCAGCTATACAAAAAGACACGAGACTTGTGAGCAGCACGTAGCATTATTCAACACGGAACAGTACCTAAATGTTTTTCCTAGAGAGAAAAAACTTCTGGAACATCATTCTTCTTTCTTAACTTCACCACCCTTCAACCTCCTGCATCAATTTTCATTATATCAGAGGGTGACAACCTTTAGTATTGGTGCATGCAGTGAGCCTTTAATAGGGCTAAGGAATGAGGAGATGAACTGTTTCCAAATTTTATGCCTGCAAGGTTTATTGATTTGTGCACTGCATAGCAATGCTAGGTGGACAAACCATCCCAGGCAGGCAGACTGCAAAAAGTCAGAGAGGATGACCACGAAATGAGAGAGTCTTCACAGAAACCTTGCAGAAGCACGATCCTGAGCTTCATGATGCAAGGCAGGAGGAACAGTCACAGGCTATGCTTGAGCAAGAGGTTGATGGAGACCCTTGAGATGGAGGAGGCTAGAAATCTGTGACATTTGCAACAGAAACACTCCTTTCTGGCCTCAGATCTGAGTTTACAGAATTGATAAAGTGTCCTAATAACCAATGAGGGAGAACAAGCTCCCTTAAGGAAGGGTTTGAAACCAACTGAGCTTGAACAGAGAATTAGCAGAAAGCAAGAGGAAGTGGTGGGTGACCGTGGTTGGAGATTCCCTCCTGTGAAGGATGAAGGCACACAACTGCTAAACTGTCATGCTATTACCACAGGTCTCTTTGGGTTTTTTAGGAGCCCCGATCCATTATGTTGCAGAGA